GTTGATGAAATGAACCCTATGCTGTGGGCTGCTATTTACTTTTATTAGAACATAGGACAATAAATTACGATGGATACCAAGCCAGAAATCAATTTAAAAGCATTAAACCTCCCCCACAATTACTCTGTGTGTATTCATGGAACACATTATCAAAAGTTACCTTAAGCTCAAGTTTTGTAAAACAATTAACCATCATAATTAAATCACCAGATAGGACAAAGTGATAAATGCTTAGAAGTGCTTAGACCTCAAGAAACAAACAAGGCACTAAAAGGCAAGAATTTAACAAGAACCTACTTAGCAGATATATTTATGGTAAAGAGAAATGCATAAACAACCAGATCAAGTAGTAAGGTTTGCTGGTCAGATATGATGAAGATTCTTATTTAAGGCTTAAGTTCTTTAGTGGCAAACTATATTTGCCATCTTACATCATCATAGTATTATTATATTAAGTCTCAACTTCGTATCTACAGAACATCAGAAACATCCATTTTCTGTGGCAACCATTACTGATGCATCAGAAGCACTAATCTGGTGATGTATAACCTTCTGTCTTTCCTTGTTTCTTAAGAAGACATTTACTTACGTTTTTAGTGACTTCAAAAGACCTTCAGGGTTACTCTGAATACTATTTCTTTGTATATTGGAGCACTGATGTAATCAAGAAATCTTCCTCACCAAATTATTCCAGACTTGAGAACTGTATTATGTAATGCAGCAAACAGGAAATTTCCTGAAAACCAAATTGCACAAGTATTAAATGAGCTCAGTATTTTAGAAATAAAATGTCTAAAATACATTCTAGAAATTTAGAAATTTACTTTACAGACAGTATCATGGGGCAGGAACTAAAGCAACAATGATAAACTTGACTGCATAGCACCATGATCTGGATTCATTCATCCTAACGTCAAAGTCTAATTCATTAAAAGTTCCCTATGAGGAAAAAAGACAAGCAATTCCAAAGGTTACCTATGACCTGTGGCCTGGCAGTGATCCAACCCTACGCCTTATAACTGTGCACTGCCAATAAAGTCTAGTTTACAGTGACAACTGGTGTGTCCACGCAGCTCTAACTGAAGAGTAGACCTTCTGATCCCTGGGAAGCAGAAATAATGGCTTCCATTGACAAGAATACTAGAGTTCCCCTGCTCCTGCACAGCCCAGCTTCCAGGAGTTTCTCTGCTTCTTTCAACCCTCTCCCTACCACAATCATCCTTGGCTTTGGTTTCCAGCTTTCCTGAGGTCTCAGCCTGAAACTTTTGAGCAAAATTTTATTTGTAGGAAAACATCCAACCAGATCGACCCACAATTCTGATGCAACTCAATGCTGTTCGTTCTTCTGGAGAAGCACTATGTGCAAAAGCACAACCCAAAAGCACAATCCCAAAGAATGGGATTAATAGGAGAGACAAGGAAAAGGTTTATTTCATTCCTCACTCGTTCTTTGTCTACCAACAGTAATAAACAACTATACCACATAAAAAAACACAGCATCGTGTACCATCTCTATCATCGAAACTTGCCAGCAGGTGTACTGACAGCAGTGTAGCCATGTCAGCACAGAAATCAACTTCTGCTAAAACCCCAGGTGTTTATCCCAGCTTTTTGATACTGTGAAGATCTGCAAGTACCTCAACCACAGGGTGTAAACTAGTAAATGTGTGCCTACATGAGCTGTGGCCAGCTCCTCTCCATCATATGAGCCAGCCTGGGCTACCAAGAGCTACTTGGAGAAAGACTCACCCAAAGTATATGGCAAGCTAAGAGCTCTGGCCAACAGATCAGATCTTGCAATCATTAGGTAGGGTAAGTGGATCACTAGGCTGTCTTGAGTTCACATCAGGTGTGCTCCAACCAAAATGCTACATCCCTTTAGGGACTGGTTTTAGTAAGCTGGTTTAGTAATGGTGAGAACACCACTGGTGAACAGCAGCAGACTTAAGTAAGCAAACTGGAGACCTAACTGGCTGCAAGCACTGAGCGCTTCTACAACATAAATGATAAAGCATGCTGCAAGCACTAAGAGAGATCTTCAACATTTAAGTGACCTTAAATTATGACTAAAACTGCTGTAATTGATCCAATGCCAAAGAAACAATGAAATTGGAAAAAGTAGCTAGCAAAACCCACAATTACAACAAACTATAGTACTTTGTTTCTGAAAAATGTAAAACACATTTTGTAATACCATATCATAAAAACATTTCTTATTAAAGCCTCTGCAAGCCTAGCTCACAGCCTACAATTTCAATTGTTTAATGAAGTGTTAGAGCTCACTGCATTCCACTTCATCACAATTGGAGCTTGTCTAAGAGACTTTACAGAAGCTAGAGAGATTGTCTAGAAAGGCTGGTTAGAACACGTTAGGTATGGAAATTCTCATGCTTTATCTTCAGAACAGAATCTGTAATTCATCTTTAATATTCATCAATTTCTGAGCACCTTAAGGCACCAAGTCATCTGCACTTGTTTAAAGAACAAAAGACATCCACAAGGAGGTATCTCTTGTTGCTAGGCACTCAAAAGCAGGTTTTAACCAGCAGCATGTTTTCTGCTCTAAAGCACTGGTCAGGGTAACAGCAGTGCTCTCTGGAGGATGATGCTGATTCTAACAGACTAAGAATTGCCTCATCTTGGTTTAGGTAATGCAGTGATGCCATGCTCTTTCAAGCAGAATACACATTTCCCTGTGGAGGATGATCTCATCCTATTAGGGATGGAGGGGGTGGGGGAAGGGGTGAGGGGAGTAGGAATCATGACAGTGCATTAAGAATTTGATGAAAAAATGTTATTCTTCACCTTGATACTATTTTCTGTTATGTAAGATGAACTTTCAACTATAAGGAAACACAAAAACAAGTAGCTGAAAAGAGCAACAGCATTTTTGTAACCCAGCAGAATATATTCTATAGGTTTTAGGAAGTTTATTTTCCAATACTTTATCTAAAAAAAATACAGGTTGTTAAAAATGCTATGACACAGAGACAATGAATATAAAGATGATGCTGCAATGATCTTTACAGGTACTAAGTAGTAAAAAACAAAGTGGTTCAAAAAGGTCCAAAGCTACACTTAGCAAGCTAACAAAAAACGACCAATGTCTCTCTGTATAGCAGTAAGAGAAAAAATATTTTTCCTTCTATAAATGCAGTTGTTACAATGCTTTTTTTTGATAGGAAAATTATATATAAAACAATTTTTTATCCCTTCCAGCCTGGATTTACTTATTCTTCCTGGACCTAATGAAAAGAAATTCACATCATCATGTATCACCACCGCCATACAAACCATCAGGTTTCTTTTTAAAGATATTTATTTGAAATGAGAACCAAAAAGACAAATGAATGACACAGTGATAAAAATAATACCAAAGCTTCTCAGATACAGAAGGAAGCAAATAACTGATTTGCAAACCAGGAGAGACAAGACAACACACCTTGAGTATATGTCTGCTGCTACAAAGCAATGATTGTAGCAGTATTAAAACACACGTCCAAAACAGACATCAGTATTGTAAAACATGTCCTTAAAGATTACAAAAGGGCAGTTTTCCACCTCACATGACTGCAAGAGAAAATGTCAAGCATTCAAAGAAGATATTTTATGTACAGAAACATATATATGGCATATTGCAATAATTTGCATGCAGACATGCAATTAAAATGCTTCCATTCTACAATGTACAATGCTAAACAATAATTATCTGACTAATAACATAAGGAAAAAATAGACTATATGAAAAACTGAAAAACATTTGAAATATACCATTATATTTTCCATATGACAATATCCCCCTACTAAATACTGCTACCACTGATGGAAGCATGCCAGTTCTGTGACAGCCTTTCCCATTACTTCTGGTCTGGATGTGGTAGTTGGAAAGCCCAGACACCGGGTCAGCACTCTGATCTTCCAAAAGCAAACAGACTTCTAGTCAGTCAGCATTAAGATGCAAAATTAGCAAGAGCTGAAATTATTCCGAGTGTAGATGGGACCCTTGCTTATTAATTCACCAATACCAATTAAAACACGTCACCAATGCAATAAGCAATAGCCTTATCGGGCTCCTTAACATCAACGGCATGATGTGTTAGTTTGAAACCTACCATCTGACACGCAGATAACTGAAGGAGGGAACTATGAGTCAAAGGGTAAAAGACTAGATTAGAAAAGGTTAGTCACAGTGTCTGTGAGAGTTTCAAACTAATTTCCTCCAGCACTGGCACGGCCGGTACACACGAGGTTTAACTCGCTTTGTTTTGGTCGATCCAGATGCAGATTCTGACCCTGCGCTTCCGGTTAGTTAATGGTCCACCGGGGGGGACACCAGAGAGCAGCTTAGAATTAAAGTGCTTTTTTTTTTTTTCCTTTCTCTTTTCTCCTATTTTTTGTTTGTTTGTTTGCTTGTTCGTTTGTTTCGGCAGCTTCTCGACCAAAGCAGGCTGAAACGGAGCAAACTGTCTACCTTAAGCTTCTGGAAAACTCATAGCCGAGGTCCCGCGCCCTGCCCCGGGCAGGGGGAAGCGGCGGGCGCCGGGAGAGCACCGCGGCCGCTCTGCCGCCTCGCCCGCGGGCAGGGCGGGACGGACCCCTGCCCGCAGCACTGCCGGACCCGCCGTGCCGGGAGCCCCGCGGGGCCCCGGGGCAGCGGCGAGGCGGCGCTCTGAGCCCCAGGCCCGCCTCCGGCGATACGCGACTGCCCTCCTGCCCCCCGCAGCCGACCTCCTCTGGAGGAGATGCGGGCGGCCACGCGGAGCTGGAGAGCTACAGCCTGGTCTACCCCACCCCCGCCGCTTTGTTTGGCCCCACCACCGCCGCGCCCGCATCCCTGCCGCCGCCAGCACCCACCGCCTCGGCCGCCCGCCCGCTCTCGGCGCTGCGCTCCAACCTGCCTTCCCCTGCGCTCGGCTGGGCTGCGCTGGGCACGGCTCGGCGCTGAGGGAACCCCGCGGCCGTGGGCCCGCCCGACGCGGCACTGGCTCCTCCCCGCGTAGGGCGGGCAGGCCGCCCCAATGGCGGCAGCGAGCGGCGGGGGAGGTGAGTTGGTGCCGGCGGGGAGCGGCCTCGGGGGGTCGGGGAAGGCGGTCTCGGGGAAGGCGTTCTCGACGTGCGGGGCGGCTCCCGGAGCCGAGGGGAGGCGGTGCGAGGCCAGGATGAGCCAAGGGGCTGCCGGTCCGAGGCCAGGATGAGCCAAGGGGCTGCCGGTCCGGGCCCCACGGGTGCGCTCCGGGACACCCTCCGGGAGGACGCTGAACCGCCGTGCCCTGCGGGGTCTGAGCGCTGAGCCGGGAACTGCTGCACTCGCTGCTCTTCGGTTTGAGTGGTGTCACCTAAACCCCGTTAGGTTTGGCCTGTTGTTTCAGTTCCTCTGCCTGCTGAGAGAAATGTAGCATTCTGGTACATTTGCACCATGCCGGTGTGGCCTCATCTTGAATACTGTGTGCAGTTTTGGGCACCACAATATAAGAAAGATATTGAGCTGTTAGCGTCCAAAGGAGGGCAGCGAAGATTGTGAAGGGCCTTGAGGGGAAGCCATATGAGGAGCCACTGAGGTCACTTGGTCTGTTCAGCCTCATCTGAACAGATGGAAAAGATTTCTCACCCAGAGGGTGGTTGGGCACTGGAACAGGCTTCCCAGGGAAGTGGTCACAGCACCAAGCCCGACAAAGTTCAAGAAGTATTTAGCTGATACTCTCAGGCACGTGGTGTCATTCTTGTGTCTGGTCCTGTGCAGGCTTAAGGGTTGGATGTGATGATTCTTAGGGGCTTCTTCAAACACAATATTCTGTGATTCTGACAGAATGGTGGTTTGTTAAGTCAGTAATCTGTGGGGACGATTACCAAACAAGCTGCCACCTTCCAGACCCTGGCGTGTGAGATCCCCACGGCTGTGCTGGCCTGTACCACAGCAGAACCTGCCCCTTGGGTGAGGTTATTGCCCACCATGCACAGTCAGAGCCTCAGGCTTATAAAATCAACAGACAGGTACACTCTGAATGTCCCTGCCTGCCTGCTGATCTGCCTTGCACAACAGCTCTCTAAAGCTGAGGGCTGGTTTTGGCTTCACTATCAACTTTCAGGTCAGTTAGTTTCATATTTGTACAGTGACCTTCCATAGCAGACGTCAGAGTAAGATAACATTGGAAACTACGTATTCCAGCTTCTCACAACAGATACTAACCTACTTTTTGAGGTCTTATATACCTGGTCTAAAATACTGAGTTTTGCACAGAAGTCCTCAAATCTTAATTTGAGGAACAGATTGCCCAGAGAGATTGTGGAGTCTCCCTCACTGAAGATATTCAGGAACCATCTGGATGCAATCCTGTGCTTAAGTGGAGGGGTTGGACCAGATGACCCACTGTAGTCCCTTCCAACCTGACCCATTCTCTGATTCTGTGATTGTACAGGCCACTTCCTCTCTTAGGAGGGCAAGATGAAAATTGGTGCTCCTTGTTGTTGTTGTTGAGGGAAGATGAGTAGTGTTTGTTGGTATGCCACAGGTCAGCTCAACATAAGGATAACTCAGCTAATTTTCACTAACATTAAGAAATTTGACAATAGAGGCATCATTATTTATTATGTTCTTCTAAGGCTGGAATCAGTAGCTGGGAGAAAATCTCATGGATTTATTTGTGTCAAGGACCATGAATTCTGCCATAGAGCTATGTTGCATGATACATACTGGCCAGGAAACAACTGTAATTACGTTATTTTGAGTAGCAATTGATTTGCATGTCTCAGCTTCAGTTCTCAGCAGGTGTGGATAGTGTGTTTTATCATAATCATTACAGATTTTTGAGCGTTTTTTTTAAACATTTTTAAAACCATTTCAGAAATCCCTCATGCTACAGGGGAAAGACAAACATAGATGTGTGATTTCATCATATGTGTCCCTACATTTTAGTAAAAAAAAAAAAATACAACCAACAAAGGAAAAAAATCTCAAACCAACCATATAACCTGGTATAAAAATACAGGATGTCAACTGTGCTCAGCAGTAACCAGACGAGTAGTCCTCCATCAAACAGAGAAACTGAAATAGCAAGTTCTTCAAGTCATCTCTCAGGAGACATTTTCCCAGGCTCTCCATCCTGCTCAGTCAATAACACTGAAGTCCAAACATGTTGGGGACAAAATTTCTTTCTGTCAAGTAAAATAAAAATAAGTACTCCCCTTACTTTTGGTGGGACAGAAGAGAGGAAGATGAAGCGTGAATTCCCCAGTGAATTCAGAAGGTTAGTCTGTAAGTGTAAATTGTACATGCTCTAAATGGATGTGCTGTGTTATAGTTCATGCAGGAACTGAAGTTACCTTGAAAAGACTGACATGTTGGACTGCTGAGAATCTGAGAGTGTTTGGACTGCAAAGAACAGTGATAGGTTTAAGTTTTAAAGTAAGGGTCATCAACCTTCTCCCAGGTTCAGATATCCTCCCAGCTGTGTTTCTCCAAAAATATAGCCTAATATAACTAGAAACTTTAAAATGAATAGAGAACTACAGAAATTCTCTTTCACTTTCCTTTTTTAATGGTCACCTTGTGGGAAAGTGCTGATGTAGGGAATGTCCTCTGTACCCATTAATTTACAACAGAGCCAACAACATGAAAATGAAATGAGGGTTTTACTAGCAATTCTGAGAAATGCTGATTGCTGTCTGTAATTTAACTTTTCATTCCCCAGGAAGAAACTAATTGCACAAAAAGGGAGTGGAGGAAGTGCATAGGTCAGAAGACTGACAAGATCTATAGAGATAATATTTTTGACCCCTGTTAGAGAAAAAACATTGACATAGGCACTTGACATAGGCACTAAACTATCAAAACACAGGCAGGCTTAGAAGTACAGTGGGCAGAAATGTAAGTGTCCAGTAACTTTTGCTGTGGAAAACTTAGAGGGGGAATTCAGAGGATCTAAAATCTGGGCTTTGGGGCCTCACAAGAATACTTAAATACTTAAACTCACCTTGTGGATCGAGCTTGTTAAAGGTTTGAATACTTTTGAGTACAGTCAGTTTCATTTTTATCTTTCATGAGAACCATGGGCAAAACAAGATTCCCCTTCATGTTTGTTCCTTCTTGCCCCTCTTCCTCTGTTTCACCGTTTCTTAGCAATACTTTTCTCTGATTTGCAGGTGTTCAACTTACAAATATTTGTACATATGTGTGTGCTTTACTACACTACTCTGTACCATTTGAATTACTTTATGGAACTAGTAGTTTAAAGGTTACAAGATAAGCAAGTGTTACTGTAGGGTGCTATTTCTTGAAAAGAGATAAGGTTGCTGTCTTGAGACTGGGAGAAAGTACATGAGATTTTAAAGCAGGTGAACGTATCACTGATCAGTAGCAAAGGTCAGCAGTGGAGAATGGAGCCCTCGTTTTAGATTTCAGTTCTTTTATTTTGAGACATAGAGCTCAGAGCTAGAGTCACTGAAATCTTAATTCTTCTGAGGAACTCAAGTGCTGTACTACCCACACAAATTAATGATCTCATTTGTCTCCCCAACCATAAAACAGAAATAATACTATTTTTTCATCATTACTGATGTTGTGTGGCTAGTTGGCAGAGTTTGTATACTTTTTGAGGAGGAATGTAATACCATTCTGTAGATAGAAAGGAAACTTCCTAGGCTTTCCCTTATTGTGATTTTTCTGTTGTGTTTATTTTTGATAGCATTAATATGAAGCTCTTGTACTTCCAAAACAGCGTAGATAGATTTAATTAAAATGAGTATCATAGCAAGGTTGGGTGTTGATTTGAATATCAGCTCCTCCCGGTTAATTGATAAATTACATTCAACAAAACAAGAATCAAAAGCAGTGATGATTAAAATTAAAATTGTCGTGCAAACAGAAATTGAAACTAATTTGACTATTTGTAATTGCTTTAGGAGACATGAAGAGAAAATGGGAAGAAAGACTGAAGAAAGTGGAAGAACGAGCATCCTACTATGAAAGAAACCCTCTTCCTACAGTTTATAGACCAAGACTGTCCAAACCCTTTCAGCCATCTTCTGTTTGGAAAATATTTTCTCGACAGGCTGAAGCTTTTAATTATGTAAAAATCTGCAAAGAGGTATATTATGTTTTAGGTGAACTACTCTTTATGTACTTTCAAGGTTGAACATCACTTAAAATCTTGGTTGACAGTGAAGTCTTTATCAGATTTATTTTTTTTTTTTCTTCCCAATCCTGAAACAGCAAGTTTAGGTTTTTTGTCTTTGTAGGAGATCATGTTGCACTGGAGGTATCTCTAAGAAGTACTAGCTCTAATTCTACCATACACATATCACAGTGATATGTGATGTTAACATCTAACAGTAAAGTGCTTTTTGGTAACATTGTAGTGCTAGGTTTCTTCCCTCTGAAGATAAGCAAGCTGCCGGGGTTGGCAGGAGAAAGGGAAGGTAGTGAGAACTGAGCAGGAAGAAAGAAAAGGAAGAAAAAGAGAGAAACAGGAGACAGAGACAAAATAAAAACAATACAACTCTCCAGTGGCATCAGAGTAGCAAGTTCAGACCATAAGAAGTGTTGAACCAAATAAATATTATGCAAAAGTATCCTCTGCTTTCAGTTTAATACTTTTCAAATTGACTGCTCTTTTTAAAGAAAGTACTGTGTTTTTCTCGACGCTGTTTTAGGTGTTCAAGTAATCTTGGCAGCCTGTTTTCCAAAATGCACTCTCACTGGCTTGGCAGTACTTTTTTGGGGGTTTTCTTCTCAGATTTCTATTTTTTAATTTAAATAACATAATGTCTGAAAAATATTTGCCATAAAGCCATATGCTGCCATCATATCCATGAGGCCGATCCTTTGAGAACATTGTTCCTCCTCCCGTTAGATGCACTTGCCGCTGACCAGAAAAAAGAAGACTTTACAGAGAAAGCAGAGGTTATGTTCATGCACAGCAAAGAAATGCTTCAAAGTTTCACCTTTGTAACTTATATCAGAATGATGTTCTACATTAAAACCAGGTGCTACTTAGCTTGAAAAAGGATAAGTGATCTGCTTATAGTTCTCTAGTCTTTACTAGCCTTTGATTAATGTCAAATAGGAAGATTTTAAATGGTTCTATGCAAAACTAAACCAAAAAACCTTCAATGTTTTTATTTAAAAAGGATGTTCATGTATTTGCTTTGGAAAAGAACACACAGAGTGGACAGAGGTTTTACCTTGTGACAACATATAAAGAGCTTTGGTTTTATTACACGTGAGTATGGGAAAAGGTGCCGCTGTATGTCGCTAAAAGATAGTAGTGTACTGGATATCCTGTGACCTAGTAAGAGGTATGACTGGAGGAGCTGCCTGCTGCTCTGACTAGGACAGACCTCTAATGAGTTGCCTGAGGTTTCATCTTGGCCGTGGGAAAAATGATGTGGTTCCAAGTATTGACAATTTGATCATGTACTGAACTTTTTTCCCCATTTGGCTGTTTTACAATAAGACATCCAGTTATGAAGTAAAAGAAATCTGAGTCAATTTTTATATGAAAAGCCTGATTTTTTTTCTCAAATTCAAAATGAGATTATTTTTTAATTTAGTTAGACAAACTCTGTATAATCTCATTGTTCGTGTTTAAGACATATGTGTGATAACTTCATTTTTTTACTGTAGTTTTCATAGTTCCTTAAATGCTCAACAGCCTAGAGTGTGCATTGTAAGACTTATGGGGGCATGGGGAAAGGAATATTTTACAAAATTAAATTTTAGGCCAGACAAATAATCTTTGTTGATATTTGATGCTGAAGTTAGTTACAAATTTTTTCAAAGCACTATAGGGCTGATACATTTTTTAATATGGGTGGTTGATTGAAAAATAAAAAAAATATTTAGGACTTGTGGAATTCTTGTTTGCAACTGAAAAGCATGTATAATGTTTATTGTGAGAGGTTGTGATTTGTTTTTGTTTTTCCTTAGCAAAGGTTACAAAACAAGTCTTATGCATTGCTATGAAGTAATTCCTGAAAAAGATGCTTGCAAACTTTATTTTGATTTGGAGTTCTACAAACCAGCAAATCCTGGTGCAGATGGCAAGAGTATGGTTGCAAAGCTAATTGAGGTAAACTGGATCAAAGCCGTGTTGTAGATGAATATGAATTTCTTGTTGATTTAATATGAAACAAAAGAATTTACTACTTTACAGCAGGTTTTTAGAAGAATATCTTCTAATAAAATCTCTTAGTAAGTGGACATTTATTTGTGAGACTTCTGTCACCTGCTTTTGTACCTGTTACAAATATTGTCATTGTGGGTGTGAACTACTTTGTGGAGGAAAAAACCCTAGATGATAAAGCCACTAAATCAGACTTTGACCTGAAAAACTGAAAGTCTGCTCAGGTTATCAGTGGTAGTATAATTAGTGACTTGCACATTTAATTAAATATGGTCTATGTCAAATTTGGTTAAAACTTGATATGAGTTAGTTTGGAATAACTTAATTGTATACTTAAAATGAGAAAAAAATCCCAAAAAGAAACCTTGAGAAAACGTAGAATCTGCGTTTTTGTTAGGTTTTATAGGTACCACTACTAAAAATGCTAGAGAAAATAACGTAATTAATGTTTATGATTTCAGCTTGTCAGCCAAAAATTAAAAGAACTTTATGATGTAAATTGTTCAGCTAAAGATGTCTTGAATTTAGATTCCAGTACCGATGAAAAATTTAGTCGGCACTTAATATTTCTACCCCAAAAGACTGTATTTAAGGATAATATTCATGTTGGTAAGTGTGTTCTTTTCTCTTACACCTAGAAATAAAAGATGAAGTTTTGTCTTCATACAGTGCCATCTGACATTTGAATATTTATTTTAATGGAATTATATGTGGAAACAAATATGTAATCCCAGCAGAAATTACTATCAGTTTCATCAAGCGTCATTTTTTCTCATCTTCTACTTCCTTTTCCCATAATTAGCATGTTTCTTTTATTTATAAAAGTATGGACAAGACTGACTTCTGTGAAACTGGCAAGTCTATGACTCCTTAATTTGCAGGTTAATGTCAGTCTTAACAATTAAAGCTACCATTATGTGCTCTAAATACAGTTCATTTGTGCTCAGCATAGGGTCAGGAAGGCAGGACAAAGATGATTTCAAGCCAGCTGTGCATAAGCGTGATTAAGAGGAAGCTGAAAGCAATTTTAATTGTTGATGTAGGTTGGTATTTCTTGGGATATGGCAACTCTTAACACAAAGAGTTGCCAGTTCAGGATTGTCATGACTCCATTTTTAAAATAAGTAGAATAATACCTCCTCACTTAACAGAAGTATTTTGAATATACTTTTAAAATACTGCCTCTGAAGCACTGAAGTGCTAGTGGTGAACAGTAAGAAAAGTTAATGTTGAAATTCATAATTTCTTTTTCTTGTATGTATATTCTCTGTAGTGTGCAGTAAAGCAGTCTTATAGACATACTTTGACCAATGAGGGCACGGTAGAATATCAGCTAAATTTTGTCTGAGTGGAGCAGGAACTCATGGAAAACAACTTGCCGAGCGGTGGAATTAAAGTCTGTATCAACCTACAAATGCAGAACTCTGGGTTCATTAACATTGATTGCACCTGCAACCTTGATTTTGTAGTATCTTAATATTTGAGTGTTTATTTTTGTAACCTTTGTTCCTTATTGTGTTTTTTTTCAAATAAACAAAAAAGATGAGGGAAAATAAGCAGAAATGCTGTTATACAGAGATTAGTATCTCAGGGGTTATTAGAAGGGATGAAATTTAGATTTGTGACATTTAGCTCTACTGTTTGTGTTCAGGAAGAACTGTGACAACAGCAGTAGGATTACAAGAAATTATGTGCATTGTTACTGGGTTTCCCCCGGCAGTAGAATAGGAAGAGTTCAGGATGTTTGGTTCAAAATTTTGATCCCACTCAGTTTCCCACTTTTATTCTGCTGTCTACTTGTCACAATCTGACTGTCTTCATGCCCAGTCCTCCCTTTCTCACCCTTACCTCTTTTTCTAGCTCTGCACCCTCCTTCATTCCAGTCTTGAGTAAAGTTTATACTGTATTTCTTATTTTTTTAATACCTCCTGTGTTTTTAAGTAGATTCTTACTAGGCTCTGTATGACCTAGCAGAGTCTTGTAGAGAGTACAGGAAAGATGATCTCTTTGCTTTTAGTACTTAATGACTGCACAGTGATGCTGTTATTAATGACAAAGTGCTGGAGTTCTGTCTAGCCCAGTACAGCATTAGAGAAAATCTTATTTCCCTTTTGAATTTGTCTAGTTATTTCATGGAGACAACACATGTACTCCTGGATTGAAGTGTTATTGGGTTGACACGTTTTGTGTTGCTCTGAGGAATCATTTACGGAAGGTCTTGTCAGCATGAACATCTGGAGGAATAGAGCAAACTGTAAGGACAGGATGGATATTGTAAGCCTGCATTTACATATAAGTTTTTTTCCCAAGTATTTTTAGTGTAAGCATTTGGTCCATGGCCTAAGCACCACTTCAGGCCAAAATTCAGGTCCTAACTCTAACACAAAGAGGACTGAGTATTACCAGAACAGAGGATTTTTTTTTCCAGCTTTTTTTAACATTAAAAAAACCCAGTTTCTCATTCTTGGGAGTAGTGGAATCTGTGTCCCTAAATCTTTTGAGGAGTAGCTCGAGGAAAGCCGAGCAGATTGTCTTGGTTATAAGCAAACGCTGCCTGTACTATTGGCTCCCAAATCTAAGTGTGACACAGAGCAGTAATTTCTTACTTGACACCGTGGTAGCAGTTACAAACCATGAAGCCTTAAATGAGAGTACTGCAATTTTTAGTTCAGAAGTATGGCCTTTTAACTTCTCTGCCAGTATAAACACCTAAGTGCTTATGTACATGGATGATAAATAATATGGTATGACAGCAATTTTAGCCTCTGATCTTGATAGCTAAATTACATTAGTCAGTTCTTTCAGTAGAAACTGGAATTGTTTATTCTGGCCCATTGGTTTAAATGTTCTGTGTCTCCACTGTGACGTGAATTTGACCTGTTTACAAACTGCCAGATTTAAAAATACATTTCTAGGTTGTGTATTCATATTCCAGCTTTGCCTTTACAACAAGATATTGAAGTCACAATAAAAATCAAATTTTTATAACTGTAAATGCCAGTGTTAAATTCATGCATGTTACCAATAATATTATACTCGAGACTTTTCATTAGTGCATGTTGGTAACCTGCTTAACAAACTTGTGCTAAGGTGTATTAGATTTGTACTTTGTGCAAAATACTCTGCTGTAGTAAAGAAGTAAAAATGCAGATAACTACATAAAGTAATTTCCCAAAACCTATATGAAAAAAAATATTTCTGATGTGATGGAAAGATTTTGTCTAATATTAAACTTGAAGGGATTAATATATTTTTCAAACATATGCAAGTGATGGCTTTTTTTGTATTCAGCACTGTGGTGTTCTGCCTCATACAAAACGTTCTTTCAGATGAGTTAGTGGTATTATGTGGGATAAACTAGAATACGAAGTATCACATCTTGGATGATATTGTATCATAAGCATTTTATGTCAGGAGTCATGCACAAAGTGCATGGGCTTAAAATTAAATATGATTTAAAACTTCTAGTATATAATATTGGGAATTAGTTACTAGCTAGAATTAAAATACAGGGGCTGAGTTCATAGCTCACGTAAGAGAGAGATCATGTAATGTCCACAGGAAAGCTGTGGCGATCAATGAATTTGCATTGATCAACTCAGATGACAGATCCCACATACAAAAAATACATTCAAGGATCAAAAGTATGAAATGTACGCTTTGTTTCCCACATCTGACCAGTTAGAAGACATTGGAAGAGAGAAAACAAAGGCATGTGTGAATGATAAAGAAATAAGTCCCAAAATAATCTTTCACTAACAGAACCCTTGCTATTCTGACACCAGAGCGATTGTTACTCAGTTACAGACACAAAAAAGTGAAGTGGTCAACCAGGACTTCTACAGGTACTCTAACTTTTATCATAATTGAAATAAACTTCAGTTCTGAAATAGGTCCATTTTCTCCCTGAACTGAAGATCCAAGTAACTGTTGTTATAAAACTAAGAATTTCTCTGTGCGTATTTGGACACACAGGGTTAAAACGCTGTCTGTGACTGTGACTCATTTGTGTGCCTCAGTAGTCCTGTAATGAATTATGAGGCTAATGATGATATTGATGCTTGATATGCTGAGTCACTCTGTTGATATGTAGCATAGGAGGACTTATATTTCATATTCTTTCATGTTCCCCACTGAAGGTTCGTCCAACAACTGCAGAATTCTCCTTGCCAGTATTCCTTTGACTTCATAGTTTTTTTCCCACATGTGTATTTATTCTGTTCTCCGCTTTCTTCCTGGAAATATTATGGCCATGGTTTTTATTTGTTTGTCTTTAGTTACCATCTAGCAGAGCCTGGAGGTACAATGGATTTGAATTACAATAGTGGGAGTTTGAAAAGTCATTACAAAATACTTTTGTAAAAATAATTTGTTGTTTGAGTATCTTTTTGATCAAACTCTTAGAGCAGTGAGCACACTATGAAACTGCAACTAAACATTTTCAGTCATTCTGGAAATTATATTAGGGAAAGCAGCAGTGAGAGGGACAATCACAAGCTTTTCAGAATCCTAAATCTGAGCTTTTTCGTGTCTTTGGGGTTTTTTTTAAAGAAGCTTAATACAAATTCTTGCCAAGCATTGGTTTCTCATTATTGGCCAGAACCATTTTGTACAGTGGGCTGACCAAAAGGTTTTTTTAAAAATGCAGGAGGGCTAAAAAGACTCCAAACTCCAACCACTTCCATCTTGGCTATTTTAAAAAATGTTTGCACAGAAACTCTTTCTTTCTTGACTCATAAACAACGTTATCTGCTTTTGGCCTTTTTTGTTTGTTTTTAAGGTAACTTTGTGAGAACCATTTTGCAGCCTGCCATAAGATTAATGGAGAGTGAGGCTGCTGCTGCTGTGATTCCAGAAGAAGAAGCAGGATGTGTTTTCCAGTCTTCTGCAGAAGCAGTTGGATTAGATGGTTCTCTTAGAAACCTCACAGCTGTCGAAGATGCTTCCAAAGGCTGGCCAACCATTGCTCACAAAACAAAGGATACGGAAATGTCACACCAGGGAGAAAATTTGGAGTTTTCTTTTCTAATAGTAAATGATACAAAAGGCAACAAGCAACTTTTTGTGGATCTAGGTAAATATAAGTGCTTTTAAACTTCTTTGGGATGCAACAAAGTTAAGAAATTAGATGTTTCTTAATCTCCTGTTACAGACAGTAAGAATTGTGGTGTTCTTACTGTTGTCCCTATGGTCAGAATTTAAATGAAATACAATACATGCTGAAACTGTGATCGTAAGTGCTATCCTTTAAAGGAACCTTAGATTCTTGGTCTATGGAACTTCTTATATTACTACATTTAATTATTTTTTTTCTGAAATTTGAAGAAATTCTTGCCACACAAGACTCTAATAATTTTTTTTCATCTAATACTTAGTGCTCCCATTTGAATTAAAAGAGAATAGCATATATTGCATTTTTTTGTTATTTCAGTTGAATTAGAAGCTGCTTAATTATGGAATAAGTCTTACAGGCGTGGCCTTCTGAATTGTTCTACGTGTATGAATTGAGCCTTCTTTCTCTGTTTGGAATGGCAGCTGTTAGGTTTGTGATGGAATAATAGAAATTTTGGGTTGGGCACTTCATGGCCCAGCTGGGCTTAGCCTGTTGAAGGTATTAAAATGTTACTAATCTCCAGGAGCACAACACCCATAGTCAAACTAAAGTTTGAAAGTTCCACCCTTCTTCATTCCTGTATCTTTTTTCTGCTTTTTGCCTCGTCTCAGTGAAATGAAAATAGCTGAGCACACTTTTGCACAGCAATGTGTTATGTACTTCAAGACTTTACTGTCTTTTTTTTCTCAGACTTCTGTGAAGAACCCCCATTCCTTCAGATTCTTCTCATGGAATTCAGGATCACTTTCATTGCAGGCCTCCTCAATATGTCTGATCTATTGAAATGTAATCCCAGAGTGGGCCCTACAGTAGGCTTCTCCATTACTAATTCAGAAGGATTACTTTCACATAATCACAAAATTCCTTCAAGCATATTCATACACGGAAATTAAATAAAACCATATTTTTTGACTGTGTCACCTTCTAAGAATTCGATGATAAATGTGCAGCTTTTTGTCCTCAGTTGTATTTCACAAAATTAATTTGAAATCATGGGTTTCTTATACTGAAGTGAAACTTTTAGCAATTATAATGTCAGAATCATTAAGATGCCTGTGTAGGGCTGTTGAGTGTTTGTCTTAATTCTTCTATGACATAAAAATGTACATGCGTTACGATCTTGCTTTGTTGCATTTCAGCTATGGGGTGTGAACTGAAGTCAGTAATAGTATTTGTCCATTCATTAGACTCTTAGCTGGGTGTAAGGAAAATTGTTTAATTTACAAGTGCTAAGTAGCCTAAATCCTAGCCAGCATTGTTATGTTACGAAATATTTGTTTTCCTGTAGGAGTTTATACAAAGAATAGAAACTTCCGGATGTATAAATCATCAAAAGCAGGAAAAAATGTGATTCTGAAGATAGCAGAGGATAATAAGTTTATCCCTCGCTATGAAAAGGATGTTTCCTTGGAAGAAGCATATTTTCTTTCCTCTTTAATCTGCAACATTAGGTAATTATTTAATTCCAGTGGAATTTACAATATTTTTAAATATGTATTTTAATGATAATTCTCCCGCAGCAGTTACAAAAAGCTACTTCGAATGAGCAGTTATTCCATTAACATTGTTACAGTGTAATTTTGGAGTTCCTAGTAGAATTTCTTGGTTTTGAAGAAAAAACAAGAACAAAACTCTTGAGAGTCTTGGTTTTTGTTTTTTTTTGTTTTTTTTTGAACCTACCTTCAAGTGTTTAAAGGACACAGAACACGTGGTACGGCTCCTGAGTTGTGCCTCATTTCTCTGTATGCACTCAAAATGCCAAAACTTAACCATTATTAAGTTTGGTCAGATTCTGTATCTGAAAACAAAAATTACAGATTTCCAGTCAGTTAAATATGAAGAGTCTGAATATTTTCCAAAGTAGGATAAGAAATATCCTGTACGTGTTTACTTGCATACCAGATTCCCCATTTGGTACAAATACCTCCTTACGTTGGGTACTCGTATATACAATAACCAAGTTTTCTGTAGCTAATCTCAACTTCTGATATATCATATGCTGTACTAAGAAGATCCTAATCATTGCTGCAGCAGAAAGAGGGTTAAAATGGTATAATATTTTTATTCAAAACGTGGATTTGTTCTGACTTCAGGTTTTATATCCTGAAATATTCATTATCCTGAACTGATGCCAGCAACCCCGTAGCATAAATCATGTAGTGTATTCAGATCATAGGCATCAGCTGAGTCTGTCATAAATATGGCTGAGAAATTCTGCTGTGTTGAATTTAGACTTCTTTGATCATCTGGCTTCAGCTAGCAACATGGCAAAAAAAAGTAGTTCATTTTAGAGAGACAAAAAAATTGAAACCTTTCAAAGGGTATATTTACATAAATACGCTGTAGGAGTGTGGACCAGCAGTCGTTAAATTGCTGGGTCCTGGGACTTCCACCAGGAACCAAATGTTGCTGCTGAGGAGGAGGAACCTCTGCCCTTGGTGCCAGTCAGGGAAACTGCCAAAGTGAGAAGAGAGAGTGCTCCAGGGATAGGGAATGGTGCACACTGAATCATGGGCTGGTTGAGGTTGGCAGGGACCTCTGGAGGTCTCCTGGCCACCCCCTTGTTCCAGCTGGGCTCCCTGGAGCCAGTGGCCCAGGGCTTTGTCATGTTATGTTATGCCATACTGTGGTAACTTATATGCTACTGTGTTATGCTGTAAGAATCACACATTTTCCTTTGTATTCTTTTCTTTCTTCAGAGTGAGTGATGACACAAAAGTTCTGTCATCTGGCTTTTCAGAGGAGGAGAGAAAAATGTCTGCTTTTTTAAACAGTAAAACAACCAGAAGCAGCCAAGGTACCTCACGCCTTATCTCCTGTATAGAAAAAAAAGTTCTCTTTAATTATATGTACTGTGACTTGTACACCTGATAACCTCTAGGAGGGCTCTTCTTCAGCTACCCTTCAGCTACCCTTCTGCAGGAGGCAGAGTACATCTGTACTGAAGGATGCTCTGCAGCCCCTGAATGCCATTTACCTTCTCCTCTTGAGGGTGGGAGTAGCAGTTTAAAGATCTACAAGAACGTAACAGTGGATTTATCCCTGGTTTCACATTTGAGGGTGCGATGTGATTCATGTGCATTTTCAGTCTATATAATGTGTAATGTGTGATAATTACATGTTGCCATGGCAAAGCCACTAACAGTATGTATATGTGGCCTTTGTTTTAGATTCCATGGAAGGCTATCAGGGTTCACCATATCCAGAAATTGATAATTTTGTTCATTCTTTGGTTAATAAAGATGGGCTACAAGGAGGTAAAGAGACCACTTGATTATTCACAAATGAGTGTTCTGCATCACTAGTTTTAAATAATTTAAAGAATTAATTTTTTTTCCCTCAGGGATACGGCAGTGGAATTACTTCTCTCTCAAAGAAATACTTGTATATGATATTTCTGGTTACCGCTGGTGTGAAAATATTGGAAGAGCTCACAAAAGTAACAACATAATGTGTGTTTTTTATTCAGTTTTAAACAGCTTTTTCTTATTCTCCTGCTCAACTGTTATTCTCTAAAAATGCTGAAAAATCTCTTATGGATAGAATTAGCACCTATTACAATTTCTGTTGTCTTGCTCTGTGAGGATACAATGCTTCAATTAAAAAAAAAAACAAAACACCAAATCCAAAAAAACCCAGACAAAACCAAACTTTTTCCCTCAAGTTTACTTTGTGATAACCGGGCTTGTATTTCTAACAGTTCTATGAAGTAGGTATTCATGGTATTTAAAATATGTGCCTAAAGATGCTAACATAAAAGTCAGAATACGTTAAAGCTATTAAGCAGTACTATGCATTTATACTTTACAGCTAGGAAGCTGAAAAATCACAAAAAGAAAGCAGACCACTTTTAAATTAATTTACAGTGCACCTTAAATTACGTTATTATGTTATTAAAATGACTTTGTCATTTTAATAATTGAGAATTACCATTTTAGAAGGGTAATTCCTGCTGCCGCTTTAGTCAAGATGAGTTTTGCCAGTGACTCTGGAAGGAGTTGGACTTTGTGTAGTTTCAGCAAAATAAGTGATGGAAAATCAGGTGTTTTAGATTACATTAAAATTCCAGTATATCATTAGTAGAAATATTTTAACTTAAAAATAACTCTGTGTAACATTTAAAGTCACTGAAACATAAGGAGTAGGGTTTTGAGAAACAAGGATGCTCAAAAAAACCTACAGCCACTACACTAGATGGTGTTTCCCAAGCACATTGCTTGAAGTTTGGTGTTCGTAAAGCACAGCTGAAAAAGCTGGGTGGTCTAATCAGCTGACAGGAAATAGTGATTTTATGTGGCTTTTATATTGAAATTATCTGTAACAGCAGCAGCAACAAAATCTTATCTTACAGTTAAATCCCATATGCTAACCTTATTTTAATGACTGTCTTCCAAGCTTAATTTAATGAAGTTAACTAAATTTCACTTCCAGATGTTAGTCTTAAAAATTTATTTCTTTTAACTTATGAAGCTAGAAGTTTATCAGAAATTGTACAAAACATGTAATTAGTATGTCAGAGTATGAAAGCAATGTCCATAGTTGAGGATAAACAACACCTGTTCATTTAGTGTCAGAGTTTCCTACTGTATGAATTCATTTCATTTACTTACTGTTACTGAAAAAAACTAAGTGATTTCATTCTTAGGATTCTGGTAGATCTGAAGAACGAAGTCTGGTATCAAAAGTGTCATGATCCTGTCTGCAGAGAACAAAACTTCAAATCACAAAGTATGTAGTCTGTCATCTCAAAGCAATTATACTTAATACTTTTTTGAATGTTAATTTTAATGCCATATATTTGATTTAGGTTTTCCATTACCACCAGGGATATGTCTCCCGTCTCTTTTCAAAGAGGTATGTTTTTGTCCTATCGATATGCTAAGGTTCTTGTGAGCCATGTTGTCTCTGGAAATCACTGAACATGCCCACTGACACAGTCTGTTGAGCTCCATGCACTAGTTAGAGTGGTATAGAAGAGGTTCTGGTAGCACCATATACTCATTTTTAAGTTACTGGAATCACCTAACTTCACATGGGACTAAAGACTTCCTTCTGTTTTGATCTGAACAGCAGTTCCCAGTGCATAAGCCACAGGGACACTGCAGGGTTAAGTAGAATGGAAAAACTGCCCGAGTTTGATTTCATGCTGGGCAAGCCAAAGTGGAACTGCTCCTGGAACACTTGAGTCAATCAGAGTCAAATGTAGGTCAGTGACCCTCATATTTGAAGTTCATTTATCTCCATTTTAGTGTATCAACACAGTTACCTTTCCCCTAAACAGGTAGAATATTTAAGCCAACCTAATACTGCACCTAGATTCTAAGGCCTGAACATACTAGTTTTTCCACTGCTTAGGCAATAAGAGTTGGCATTTTTGCGACTTTTAAATTTAACTTGACAGCTTTAAAGGCCATACTGCAGCATGGCACGTTGAGCTCTACTTAAGCAGAGCATCAATAGCTATTAGTACTATTTCATAGAAAGTGCAATTTAAGTGCACTTTCAGATCCTGACGGTATCTTTAAACGGACCTTAAAATCAGTTTTAACCTTGTATTACTTTAAGAAGCTGTATACAACAGACTGCTTGTAGGTTGCTAGAAAAACAGCAAATTTCTTCTCCTATTGAAATAGACTTCCAGAGGTTAAATGGTTATAAATTAACATTCTGGAAAATCTGTCTTGTTGGCCAGCTTTCTGTAGTATCCATTATGTGTGACAGTACAAGTTTCAAACTTGCAGAGCAGTTAAAGGTATGAAGACCATTTTCATATGGAGTAAGTAGTACTCTTGTTTCTCAAAGGAAGAAGAGTATACACCAATGGATGAAAGGGGGAACACAGAAGAAAAGGTGAAACCACATTTTAATGCATCAGACTTGTCAGAAAGCTCAGGATCTCTGGCAAACAGCTTGTCTCAAGACTTCTTGCTGTCAGACAGTGAGTGGGAAAATGCAAGCGACGATGCCTGTTTCCTGGAAGCTGCCGAAGATGTGGAACTCGCTGAAGCTGCAAATGATAGTCTGAATTATGCCATGGAAGAAATCCCAGATGAAGCTCTTTTGGAAGCTTTAAGGAAAGAAGACTCTTGAAATAGAGAAGGCAGCTAACCACTGGCTTGGCCAGCACACAGACTGCCAGCAGTGACACCTGCGTGCTTTGTGCCTCTGGAAAGATACTGCGATGTAGTTCAAAAGCACTATTCCAGAGGTGTAGGACAAAGAGCAGATTAGCTGGATGATCCTGAACAGGCAGGAGGAGATCATGGAAGATTACGTCGAGTCTGAAGAGTGCTGGACTGAAACACTCATCATGAATGCTGCTCCGAGCTTACCACTTTTAACGCTCTCTGCTGTACAGTTTCTATTTTGCTAGTTTTATGTCCAAGTTTTACTGATAAACCAAGTTAAACAGACTTCTTTAGTTCCAGAAATGGGATGAAATTATTTATTTAAAATACAAATTTAATAAAAAGATGTCTATGAATAGTTCAGCCAAAGTCTCTGTGTTCTCTTTAAAAGTGTATGTTGCTGTCAAGATCACATTACTTTAATAGCACAAGTTTAAAACCCAACATTGTTCCCAAGCACAGAAAAGTTTTATTACTTTAAGTGGGATTGCTATTTCAGTCATTTCACTGACATTGAGACTATTTGACAATAGAAAGATACATCTCAATCAAGTCATTGACTTTTTAACATTGAAACAAAAAAGAGCAACAGTGACTAATCATGCTTTAAACACTACCATTCTAATAACTGTTTTTAACAAATGTTAAAAAGTCTTAAAAAACACTTAGTCTTTCTTTGATAACCTCTCTCTTTGTACAGCCAGAGCCTCTTCCAGTTTCAAATTAATATTCTGAAAGTGTCTTTCTGCTCCTAGAATTCTCCGTGACTCCATCAGAAGAGCAGGGAGGCTGGAAGTTCCATACTGTTGATATGGAAATAAAATTACAAGGCAACATTTTTAACTCTTGGAAAGATCACTTACATGTCTGTAGTTATTTTTCCTTTATCTGGAATGGCACAACATGATTTTTAAAAGTGAAGAACGGTCAAAATTAATAAGAGTGTCTTATGAAATGCGAGGATTTCCCTTACACATGGCAGGCATGTACCTTTGTCAACAGAAAATACCACTCCAGGTCCTGGGTAAAACGGGAAAGAGTTCTAAGGCTACAGGAGAAGTTGCTCTGGCCATGTAATAAAAGCACTGTTCTTAGCATTAAATACCTTACAGAACAGGCATGGAAATACCAGAGCTTTTCCTTTCTTTGAACAATAACAACAAAAGAAATTAATTACTTGTTTCTCAGTGTTAATATTTCTTCAATTTCTATAAAAAAGTTACAACTGAGAACAACTGTTAGGCTTTTATGTCCTTTCAACTCCTGGACATAGAGAGCAAGGCAGCAGAATCCTCTCTGAAATACTTTAGCTTTTAACATGAGACCAAAAAGAGTGAGATACTACAGTGCAGTTACAGCAGTGATTCTCAAGTTGCTTCCACAAAGACAATTAACAAAATATTGCTATTTAATATAACTTAAACATTAATACAAGTGCCCAGCAGTCCAGGAAAGAAAAAATGGGGAGGAGAGTTGTGACCCAGAACTGTTCAGAAATACATGCAAAATTTGTACTTACTACCACTTTTTCTTTTGGGTTTTCTTCTCTAAAATCCAAACAGTCTTGCTGTAGCTCCTTTAAATCAGTAAGTAATTCAATTGTTTGCCTCAAGGAAGATTTCCTTTCCTTTATCTCATCATATTCTCTTTGTAGTTGTGTCAGTTGTGGTTCAGCTCTGAAAAAGAATCAAGGCTTTGATGTTTGTATCTGCATGTTTTTTGCATGAATAACTATGAACATATTTCCTCTGAAGAAGACTTGAAGGAAAGGTTGCTCAGAAACACAAAACATAGGTTAGTATAGCATACTGTTTAATTAGAACAACTAGCATGTTACTTAAATAGGAGCATGAGTCCAAATCCACCAAAAAACCCCAAACCTCTCTTTCTCAAAGAGAAACTCTTTTTGAGAACTCTTTTTTAATTCTCAAAAAGAACATTCTTTTGTCAGACTCAAAATTGTCTTTTGAATCTGACAATGTAGCTCCTCTCTCTTAAGCATTTAAGTTTTCCAAATATAGTTTCTTTAGGTGTTCTCCTTCTGCACACGCCTGTCTGCAGGCTGAGGTGTTCAAGTGCTTATGCTGAAGCATACTCAGGATCTACAAACTACCTACACCTCTGCCTAAGTAAACTGGAGGGCTCAATCCATTACAATAGCACTCCAAAAACTGAACACCAACAGCCATTTTCATTCAACAGAAAAAAAGCTTTCTTAAAATGACCAAAGGATTACAACAGAACACATAAAAAATGCGAAGACAGCTTTCAGTCTGTGAGGGGGGTTCAAACCATATTGAGGGATTAGTTCTTTGAGCATAATTTGTCCATAGTACTGCAAAGTTACACAAGCTCTCATGGCCATAGAGAAAAGGCTTTTACACTGTTCTTGTCGATCCAAGGCCCTGGTTCCCTACAGAATTAACTTATGGAGTGACGTTATACACAGCTTCAGTATAAAACTTGTCACTAGCAACCAATGGGATGTGGGGAAGCCTAATGGTTCTTCCAAATAACATGATTTCTATGTTGTTTATCTAAATGACTCTTAAGATTAATGCCAAGTTAGAGATGGGGAATTGCATGGCCACATGAGATGAAAGCAAATCAGGTACTGAGAGGAACGCTTGTCAAATTGCAGAGGTGAAATACAATCTCCCACCTCAAAACCAAAAAAGTCCTATGTATTACCTTTGTAAATTTATGATACAGCACCTTTGCAATTCAAATTGTAACATTAGTATTTTTCTTATGAACACATGGTGTGAAACACCATCCTAGTAACTATTTAGCTAAGAGAACTTGCAAGAATGACTATCTAGGCAACTGATATATGTAAAGGAGAGGTCATCACAAGCTTTTGTAAAAACAGAAAGCAAGACAACAAATAAAATGAAAAAAAACAAAAAAAGTTACTTTCCCTTCTGAACTACAACATACAGATTCTTTAAGCTCTTCAGGCTATTATTGTGCATCATTAGAAACATACCCAATTAGCTCTTCTCTGAGTTGCACCAGTCGCTGCCTTTTCTTTTTGATGTTTGTTACTGCCTGAAACAAATAGTGAGCAAAGTCTCTGAAACAGTTTCTGCAATTTCAAAGGCAAACAACTCATATTTGATTGGCTTTTTTTCTCTGGGATTTTATGCTTCTGATTCTCCTGGAACATTCCAAGATATCCTTATAAACTGCCATATTTTACATTTGCATTTTAAACACTTCAAAGCTATTTAAAATGTCAAACTTTTATCTCCATCCAAAATTTCTCCTAAGGAACACTCAATTTACAAGCATACAAAAGGAGTTTGTGACATTTTGAACACAAACATGACCAACTCTAGGAGTTGACTCTAGGTCAAAATGAAAACTAACATGAAGCTATGTTCAGTATAATTGCCATAACTAAGCTTTCTTTAATATAACATCCAATTTAAAAAAAAAAAAAGCAACACCCAAAACTGATCCTAAAATTAAATTCAGCAACTAAAAATCTGATTTTAAACAAATGTATATGAGTCAAAGTAAGGATAAATGTGAGTGTCTGTGAATTCTATATGTGTATTATTTTACATGCTGAGTAGCTTGCCATATCACCTCAAATCAACAAGACTTTAGCATATTAATTGCTACATCCCAGAATAAGCCTCATGTTGACCTTATTTGTTGAAAGCTATTTTGTCCTTGAAAAGTTTGCAGAAGATGTTAATCTGGGCAGAAAGCCAGACAGTGCCTATGCTTCTCTTAAATCTCTCTGCTCTAGGGCATTCACCTCTCCTTGCTAAAACCACTGCAACGTTTTTCTGCTCTTACACTCATTCCTCCTCCTGTCAACATTCCCCAACTGCATTTTCAGTAAATTACTACTCACTCTGAATGAACAGAGGAACTGCCTTCTTCTGAACAAAAATTCTGCATATATTTAGGGAATGCAGTTCCCATAGACTTCTTTAAACTAAGAAATCCAATTCTATCCTCACAGGTCACCATCTTTGCTGCTCTCCTAGATTTTTATATTCATTTGTGTTTCTTGAAGGTTAGCACTCAATATTTAATTAGCTCTCCAGAGGCCTCACAAGTACTCATTAAAAAAAACCCCACCTAACTCCAAAAAACCAAACGAGTACTTCACATGCATAGACACCTACACATCCTAATGTGCATTCCTTCTTTTTACCCCCTATAGCAGTAGATGTATGGAGTTTGCATTCCATCATATTTACTCAGATCTTTTCCAAAAATACTCTGGTGGTTCCCTATCCCCTATTTGTGCAGTTGATTCTGTAGTACAGTACACCTTTTTGTCAATTATTTTATTTCTTCCAGTCAACTTCTTGAAATTTCAATGCCCACTACTGTATGCCATACAATCTACTGATATATATGTATTTACCTTAGCATTTTTCCTCTTCATATTCTTTAATTCCTGGACTCCTGCTATCTACAGAGGAAAAGAAGAATTACAGATTGACTATGGATCTTGAATTCATCACTATCCTCCTAAAATCATGGCTGCAAGAATTACTTGGGAATAACATAAAAAGCTATTTAAAAAACCAACACTGTTTCAAAGTGAGATTACAAGTGTATCACTTGCGTATCGAGTCTTTCCTCTCTCCTCATGCCAGAGAAAGACTGTTGCACAAAATTAGTGCAAGTAATACTCGTACCAATTACTGTAATACTACCTAGCTTAAGTTTTCTATAACTTTATATATATAAGTATAAATCTAGTCTTTTTAAAACTTATTCCTTCTCATGAAACACTTAGAACTATAGTTTTAGTACCTATCCATTGTACTTATCACAAGTCCTACAAAGTTCTGAGTTCATTTAGCTCCTTACAATTAGTGAGAATAAATCTTAGTCTTCCTAACCAATAAGCTTGTTACAGAATCCCAGAATCGGTCAGGCTGGAAGGGACCACAGTGGGTCGTCTGGTACAGCCTCCCTGCTCAAGCAGGGTCATCCTAGAGCACATGGCACAGGACTGTGTCCAGATCGCTCTTGAATATCTTACAGTTATGTTCAAACTGCTAATTAAAAGAGGATGATTTTCCCTGGACTATGTTAGAGGCCTTACTCAGGCCTCTAAACAAGAGTCACTGAGATGCAGTATAAAAGTTAAATCATTGGCCTTTTAAAACTCTAGTCCATGAGGTTTTAAAACAGTGTTTGACACAGCT